GGTTTCAATTACCGCCCTTTCTAAAGTGAAGCACTTTATTCATGCATTATGTCTAAATAGGAGAAAAAGCCAGTTACAACCAAATGAATTGGATTTACGTCCATTGTCTTTATTACAATTCATTATTCAGCTTCATTTGTTGTTATCTTGTTATTGGGAACTAAAAAGCGTTTTTTTGTGTTACACTTTGTAAAAGTAGATATAATGATGAGATGCTGCAGTAAAGTACAGATTGTATCTATATATGATAATGTCCTTTATTTAAGAGATATACAATCAGTTGGTTACAATCAAAATAATCTCTTTATTATCTTGATGAATCAGAACAAGAAAGAAAGAGAGGTGCAAGTGTACGTAATAAAGCGAGGACCAAAAGTTCAGCTGATCCTTCTAAAGCGTCACGCTGTCCAGTCACGCAACTGCATAATAACAATAAAAAAAATAATAACAATATCAAAGATAAGCTTTCCCTCTCTCTAGTTATTTCCTATTAGTACTACTTTTTTATCATTATTATTAAAAATAATAGAAATGGAGAGATCTCTACCTAATTTTGCAAAAGACGCCTTCTCCACACTACGAAACAGTATTTTCCAAGCAGGACCCCGCTCCGCCTATGCACTTATGGACGAAGAGTCGGAGAATGAAGAAGAGATATCGCATAGTCTCTTCTATTCTGTTCATCAAAATGAAGACATGGGAGATAGTATACCATTGACTGTGTCAAATGCTTATTCCGATAGAAGTCAACTCTTATTTGAACAGCAGGATGACTATGCAGAGGAGGAGGAATCAAGTGAAAATATGCATTATTCAAATCAGGAAGACGACGACGACGACGACAATGAAAGAGCAATGGTAAAAGATAGTAGAAAAGTGATATGATATGATGATAACAATATATATATATATATATATAAATAAACAGAGACCCTCTGCTATTTATGCGGAAGAAACATTACCGTCAAATTATGCTGGACCCAAACCATTATCTGAATCACTATTACCCACCTCTTCTTCTGTAAGTCATTTTGTTTGTATATATATATATAATTAAACATATATAAACTAGATTCCGCCTGGTATCACATCAACTATTTCAGAACGTAAGCACAAAGATCCATTCTTTGCCATGTTATTTATTGGATCGGCCAGTATCTTTTTCTTGTCTGGATTGATTATACTGTTTACAACAAATGCAAGTAAATGGATCCTATTATTATTATTGTTGTTGTTGTATATATTATACTAATACACCGATAAAATAGAGTCATGCTATAGAGGAATATATAAAGGATTCAACATTTAAAACCATTCGAGATTGTGCAGGTAAAAAAAAAGAGGGAATAAGATAATAAAATAATAATAATAATAATAACTGCGGAATTCCACAGGCATACTGACAATAATGATTGCAACTGCCTTGATTATGGGCACTATTTGGTTATATGTGTTACGTAAATTCACAAGGGTAAAGTATATTAGAATTATCATATGTCAATACTCTTTAACACTCTTTGTTTCTGTATATTAGACTATTGTTTGGGGAACCATTATTATTGTGCCTATTTCATTATGTTCCATGTTCTTGTGGACTTTAATAGAGTCATTACAGACTAATTTTATATATGATGGAACAACTAAAGAGAATGGCAAGGATACTGGGTATGTATTCATTTGTTTATATTATTAGCAATATGTGTGACGCTCACCTTGTCTTCTTGTGATGTATTAGGCTGACCATCATGTCATTTATACCATTTATTCTAAGTTTGGTATATACAAAACTGGCATTTGATAATCGACACCGTATATCAAAGACTGTATCTGTTATTGAGGTAAGGCGATATAAATACAATTTGATATAATATACTTATCTATTATTATTATTATTAAGCTTGCTTGTGATGTATTACGATATAATCCAGGAATCATACTTGTCTCTCTACTGTTGATAGCTTGTTTTATTGCCTTTAGTAGTATATGGATTGTCTTCTTTAATCGTCTATGGCTTATTGGTCACTTGGCTGGTCGTAATACCTTGAGTGGTCCCACATGGATTGTCAACAATTATGTTTATTCTATTGCAACTTTTTATATCTTTTTTTATATGTGGACATCTACACTCTTTATTAATTTACAAAGGTAATTGCATAGCTAATAATTATAATAATGAGATACTTATAAATTATAATAACTAGATACATCTTATCATCCATCACTGCCCAATGGTACTTTCATCGACATGAGCCTACTACGTCAAACAGTGAAATTGTATGGAAAAGTGCACTTGTACGAGGTAGTACTACATCATTGGGTAGTCTTGCACTGGGTAGTTTGATATTGACAGTTGTTCAATTCATGCAACTTGCTTGTCGTTTATTAAGAAGAGTAAGTTGACTTATTATATAAATATGCATACACAGTAAAATCCAACCTATAGTTTTTTATATACGTATGTAGTATACCAAGAAAGCAAGACCCTTTATCTCCATTGCATCATGGATTCTTGTATTTTTAGAGTCCTTTGTAAGCACCATTAACAACTACACTATTAGTCTGGTGGGTATCACTGGAGAAAGCTTCTTTTCTGCTGCGAAATCAGGAACAAAGATGTTTCGACGTAATTTATTAAGTGGACTTTTGGGAGGTAAACATGTAGGATATTGTATATATGGTGTTTATGCTCATTTGAATTGTATTTGTAGATCTATTGACAAAACTGATACTTTCCATTGGATCCATTGTTATCTCCCTATCTTCTGGATTTGGAGCTTATATTTTTGCAACACATAACCTTCATTCACCTCATGGTTTTTTGGTGGGACTATTAGCTACCATTATGCCATTGTACATTTCGCAATTCTTTTCTTATACAATGATGAGCATGTAAAGTATATCTTGATTGTACATGATTCATATATATATATATACTAATATTATATATTCATAGAATCGATGCTACCTTCCTTTGTTATGCTATTGATCTCGATACAGGCACTGTCCATGTCTCTGCTGCACATACCGTTTTTTCAGGCTTTGATTAAGACTGATATTATTATTTATACATCCATTCCATTTCATCCTTCTTTTCCTTATGACACACATTTATATATGTCTATCCATATATATCATATTTTCTTATATTAAACATACTTATAAACATATAACCTCATCAATTGATCCAAAGTACCGACCATATTAACCCGCTTTCTTTAGTGATATATACCTTTATTTTTTATTTTTTATAATAAATGCGTGTAACCGTGTGTGTAAGCAATTCAAGCTATCATCATCAATCGTTTTTATCCGTATCTACATAGTAAGTTCCATGATGGAGTTGACAACATCGTTATCGTTGTTCTTCAATGCCTTGATAGCCTTGTTACGAGAGACATTGGCCTGTGCAACAACCAATTCAATATCCTTCTCCTCAATACCTTCGGCATCTACTTCCTCATTGTCATCTTCTTCAACAGCGGCAGCTTCAGGAGCCTCGGTACCTTCAGGGGCATCTTCCTTGGCAGCGGCTTCAGCCTCCATTTGGGCATTAAGAGCAGCCTGGTTTCTTGCGGCAACATCCTCAGCTTGCATTTCACCAAAGACAATGTGGGTATCAGAGTTGGTGCTCTTGAAGACATCAGGGTTGTTGATGGAGAAGACCATCTAGATGATAAAATGAAATTAAAACAAGCTACACACACGCACACATATATATCTACATACACCTTGACCACGAGTAAAAGTGACACGGTTAATACCAGCAACGGGCTTCAAACCGAGACCTTGGAGGGCCTTGCGGGCCTTCTTCTCACCGCGAGACTGGATGGATTCTTCAACAACGTTAACGGGTTCTTGAGCAGACATCTAAAAATAAGACAAATCCGCATTAATCCATCCATCCATCATTAAAAGAGAAAAACTTACAGTTTGAAATTGACTACAAAAAAGAGGAGAGGATTATGGCTTTAATGTCTTGATTAATATCATCCATCACGTATTCCGTGTCTGTGTGTGTGTGTGTGTGGATGGACCACCACACCAGAGCACAACCACATTAAAACTCAGACACATCTGGTCTCACGCCACACCTTAAAACGCAACTCGGTGCAATTTTGTTTTCATCAGAATCATTGAGATATGTTTAACTAATACGTTGGATCACCTGCTATCTGATATTATAACCGAGCTTTTTACATAGTGAAATAGTGAGAAGACAGGGTTTGACCTAAAGCATCTTATATGCGATTTATGACCCAGTTCTATGATTAAATATATATGTCCACTTCTTTTTCCGAGTTTGATCCTCTATTAGATCTAATTTTACTTGTTGAATATTCAAGGAATATATAGAACTCTGTGTTCTTAAATACGATATATAAGCTTATTTGATTATTTATTCTATAAAATACACTCTATGTGTTATATTATTGTTATTTTTCTGGCCTATTTACATAAGCCGAAGTGCTTGCTATATCTCAATTCATTAGTTTATATTCACTATTCAATCCAAATCACTACGATATTTAATATAAAAGCATCTTATCCAGCTTATTTTGATATTCAAGCATAATGAGCACAACAGCCAATACAAAGTACAAACAGGAGTTAAATAGTCATCATATAATCCCTCAATAGACTCGGACTAGTCTTCCAACAGATATGATAGAAACCACTTTTAAAGCCTACAGTCAAATTTTAAATATTACAGTTATGTAAGGTCATTAAAAAAGTATACTACGCATCTCAAATATAATGAAACTATAGCTGAACAGACGCAATAACTCTATCAGACAAAGAGAAGGGACCGGGCTGGTTACCTGCTACAGTAAGAAGCGAATAATCGTTTCTAGCAGTACGGTCAAGATGGAGTTATGAAGAAACTCTAACATTTTTTAACTGAATTATTTTAGTTAATGAGTTTCTCGTTGAGCTGTGGAAAGGGGACACCAAAAACGACTCTTGATAGTCCGGAGAGTCCTATCAATAAAGAAAAGACTTTATCTCTTGCCCTGCAAGCTCTTTTTAGTTCTCTTAAAAGCTGATCGTTCATCAGAACATATCTGATCAGTGTACTTCTGCTTTTGAAACTCGTAGCTCCTCTGTTGCTTCATGCTAGTATGAGAATAGTAGAGGTTCCTGCTTTGCTCTCTTGTACGAACATGTTGAGCAAATGCCAGCTCCAGCTCCCCCACACTTGTAGCACTGTAGTATCCTGCGGTAGACTGATCCTTTTCTCCCTCAACTACACTAACATTACTAGCTAGTTTCTTGGCTCGTTCCAATTATCTCCTACATTTCTTGGCACCAGTGCCGTGATCAAGTTGTGCAGACTTTATTTTAAGTGAGTTGGGTAGTTTTAGGTTGTCTGATGGACATACTACTTCGAAGGAGTCTGTATAAGTGATTAACTTTGTACTAGTTCCTTGTAACCACATTTATTTGATTTTCTAAAATATCCCTACCTTCCTCAAGCGGATTATCAAGAATAGAATACCTGTTGTACAAGTCAATGTGAAATTTGAAGCGACTAGCTTTGAATGCGACTGTTTCCGTCATGTACACGATACCATTATCAGTTCCAGTATAAACCACTTTTTCGTCTTTAAAAACACCATCGTCCAAAAGAGTCTCATTCGCGTTTACAATACATGGGATTGTATCTGCCTTAATGGTTGTCTTGTTTTCCGCACTGCCACCTTCTTGAGCCTCTGAACTCTTTCTGGTAATGCTGTATAGCTTGAGTTTCTCTACGGAAAGCCACTTCTTGAAATCATTCATTTGAGCGGAAAACCTGCATCTCTTCTCTTTGAAGACTTGGATGTTGTGGTATATGGCTTCGTTTTCCCTCCTCTGTGCATCACCCAGGTCTTCTCTCATCCCTCGATGCCATCCTTTCTTCAAATTTTGTCTGCTATATCTCAATAAAAACTCCTTTCTTTCTTTATACGCTCCAGATAGCTGATCCTTCAAAGTCTTAACGTTCATACGGCACTGTTCCAACTCTGCTTTTTTCTTTTTCTCTTCCCCTGATTTCGATTTCGATTTCGACACTGGAACTTTCTTTTTAATTGAAGATGACGTTGTTGGATGGTTTTTAAGAGCTGATGTAGTAGACGATGTGATGCTTTGTTCATCAGCTTGTAGTAAAGAGGTCTCCTCAGCTCCTGGCAATCCGGATTCCTCAACTCCTGGTAAACCCGATGGGGTGACTGTATTTGTTTGACGTTTTTTCATTCCTAAAACCCTTAGTGACACAGAGCCAGGTAAAAGATATATCACGTTTTTGAAATCCAACTTGTTCATGCTACATAGATGCTTTATATAGGTAAGGTTGAAAAACGAACCAAAGACTGCATCTTGTTGTTCAGTAGCTATTTGTCGCGACTCAATTACATTGTTGTTGTGATCGTAGATGTTGAGTGCTTTGTCTTTGCCTGTTGAACAGAAGAGTGTGAATAACGTAGGACCATCTATTTGAAGTGAATGAAGGCTGTTGGGGCTTGGCATAGGTGACAGGTTACAACAGTGTTTTCTATATCCTGTTGCTTTAAGAATCTGATTAGCCATTAAGATGAATGGTATTTGGAAACCTAGACTGTAGAAGTGTTTTTTATCTGGAATATACGGCATTATGAAATTGGATATCAGTTTACAGATATCTAGTTCCTGTGTACTGCAACCGGACAACGTATCACTAATAATTTCATCATCGATAAATTCTCCATTGTGCTTGTAAAGTAAAGCTATTACTGTCGCCTTTAGTTCTTTTAGTCTAGATCTTGAGAGATCACCAGTGGTACCCTCCTCTTCCAAATCCAGGTCATTAAGCATCTGAGCAGCAGACTTTATCATTTTTCTCAAAGCGGTCTTAGGTTCTACAGTACTGATAAATAAGGTGACCAATCAACGAATCGAATTTATGCAATCCTATTCCATCAAGACTAGATCTCAAACAGCCGCCAGTCTGCCCAGTTCTAATAATGTTGTCGATCTTCCGAGCTCTAGTGATTTTACTCCTACTTCTAACCCTGACTCCCCTACTGTCTCTGCTACATCTTGTGGCCCAAATGAACCAATGAGCCTCACCAACTTAACACTTCACGAAATACATAATCATCTGATCAATATCAGGAAAAGCTTTATCAACGAAGAACAGATAAATAACGAACCATATATCATTAAAGATGTCAGCGTCAGTCTTCTATTCAGCAAATATCAAAATGCCTTTAGCAACATTATAGAAAGGCACAAATGCCTCCCGATTGAATCTTATATGCATGAGCTAGCGTCACTAACGCATATATTCTTTCTTTGTAAAAGCCAGCACAGTGAAATTGAAATGGCCGGAAAAATATTCACATTGAATCAATCGAGCACTACTGAAATAGAGACTACGAACGCCAATCTTTGTTTTCCATTGGACGATTTTGTAAAAATTAATCCCTAATTGTCCACATCGGGTAAGTTAAAATATATTAAAAAACTTATTTGCATCCTTTAACATAAAATAAAAAGGTCCTTCCCTTTCTTTTTATTCTTGTAGTAATATACAGGGTTTACAGGGTGTTTGTAATGGGATGTTGGAACTTGGACGCTGCTCTCTTCCGGTAGACAGAACAGACTTTGATCGTCTTTACTCTGTTTACAAGTGCATGCGACATGTATCAGTTAGTTGATTTTATGATTAAATAATAGAATACTTGAACTATATTCTAATATTCTTTTTTTAGTGTATTATAAAAATGTAATAAGCAAATATATAATAGCATCGCTTGATACATATACTAGCTAATTTTACCAAAGTGTTAATAATGTAACACATTTCATTATATATATATAGTAAAATCAACAACTAAAATATCCCAACATGTTCGTCTCTGTCAACTGTTTAGTTGTTTAAGACAAGAATACTTATACTATGTAGATATCAATAAAGGAGATATCTTAGTAAATTCATTGATTAAAAATTCCTAAACTTTGTACTTGGAATGATGGCTGTGCGAGTAGGCTTGATTTAATATACCTACTTTTCTCTGCTGATCTACATTTTTTTTGTAAGATGCAGTTTAGTTCTTTTGGAAAACTACAGATATAAATAATTCATGTGAAGAAAACAGAGGCGATATCCTCCACAGCCTAGAATATGTTCAGCACAGCCTACAGTGCGTCTTCCACAGCTTATAGGATATCCTTCACAGCCTTCACAGCCTGCAAGTGAAAATCGACGCAGGTAGTGGCGTCAATACTACAATAGAAACAGGCGCAGGATTAACAGGGCGAGAATGGCACGTAGCCGCCAACAAGGCGTGCGAGAGAATGACGAGGACCAACAACAACAAAAAACAACAAAAAACAAC